GTGAAGAAAAATGAAAAGGTTAATAGAGATTAGTTATGCGGAATAAGAAATGATAAACAATTTTGAATATAAAGGATTTCCTATTCAATTTTTACAAATTAGGTAATTTCTATATAATACACAAGAACCTTGGGAGAAATTGTAATTTCCTCTTGTTCTGTGGTGAATTGGTATTAATCCAAGTCATAACGAGTCCATGATCATACTCAATAATCTGATTCAAAGAGCATACATCTTGATATCCATCTTTGATAAATCTGCAGAAAGAACATAACTTATTCTAACTTGCTATAATACCAAGATATCTTATATTTTTTTCTTAAAATCTGGTATTTATTTTCGAAGTCATTCTCTGTACTTCTTGCTTCTGCCTTGTTTGAGGTACCTGATTGTTTGAGTGGGTTGGTTTAAACTTATTGTACTCTGCAACTGGTAAAAGTTTGTGTTATATGACTGATTCTGATGCATACATTTGCAGGTAGCTACTGACGTTGCTGCACGAGGGTTAGATATTCCAGATGTTGAAGTAGTGATTAACTTCAGTTTCCCCCTTACCACAGAGGATTATGTCCATAGAATAGGGAGGACTGGGCGGGCTGGTAAGAAGGGTGTAGCTCACACATTTTTTACCCAGCATAATAAGGTAATATCTTTAACTCAAATGGGATACATTACTCTTTCTGAAGTTAACACATGCTAGAAGTTAGCCCTAAATTTCTCTTCTAAGTAGAGAGACCATTTTTTCAGGGACTTGCTGGGGAGCTTGTGAATGTTTTGAGAGAGGCTGGGCAAATTGTCCCAGATGCTCTTTTGAAATTTGGCACTCATGTGAAGAAAAAGGTATGCAATTCTATCATGGTTGTACCTTATTTGGCATGTAGATACACACCTGCAAGTTAAAATTGTTGTTATACACTCTTTAAGCATTCTTATATATGGAAATTTTGATATTATGATAACAAATATATGAAGATTTAAAAATTCTTGACAGTGAAATTATTGAAACTGATATGGAAAATGTAGAAATCTATTCAAATTCATGAAATTTTTCAGTGAAATAATTGGAGAAAAAATGGATGTATGAGCTTATAGTATCAAGTCAGGGTTGTGAATGTGCTTGTTGAGAATAAAGAATCAAATTATAACATCACTGGGTTTGTGAAAATGCAGGAGTCGAAGCTGTACGGGGCTCACTTCAGAGAGATCTCTGCAGATGCTCCGAAGGCTAAGAAAATCACGTTTGATGACTCTGACAATGAAGCAAATATATGAAGATTTATAGGCCAGTTGCAGTTTACAGAGTTAATTTATTGAATCTATGAGCAGATTTACTGCTTTTTAAAAATATTTTCCCTGTGTTACCTCATCCTTCTTTTATTGGTCAGCCGTGAGCCGGTCTTTAGTGAGGCTATATTGTGATTTTGTTGTCACTTGTCGTAAAATATGGAGTTGTAAGATGCCATATAATTTAATTTTTTATTATTCGTATTTAATTCAGTTGATCATTTTTCTCATTTAATTATATATCAGACACAGGGACAGGATAGTTAGCTTCTGTTGCTAAAAAGTGAAGGGTAATTGAACAATAAAAAAAAAACATTATATTTATAATTTTTGATAAAATATCAGATTAAAATTAGAAAATAGATGTTTTTAAAAAATAACTTGTGTTATATGGTAGAAATAATTTATTCAACGAATATATTTATTTAATTTTATTATATCTGAAATTAATAAATTTTAAAATCAAAGTGTAATATTAATTTATTATTAATAATTTTATAATTATTTTAAATAATTAAAATAATATTTGTTCTGCAACTAAATAATAATAATTTAAAATTGCCATTTTTAATGAATAAAATATATAATATACTTTAAAATAAATTGAATTATTAGAATAAATGCTTTTAAAAAATAACTTGTGTTATAGGATAAAGATAATATTTCAACGAATTTATTTAATTAATTTCATATATCTGAAATTAATAAATTAAAAATTTGTGAAATAAAAGTATAATACTAATTTATTATCAATGATTTTATAGTTGCTATAAATGATTAAAATAATTTAGAAAATAATATTATTTAAATAATCCTAATTATTAATTTTTATTATTTTAAAATTTATTATTAATTTTAGAACATAATTAATTAAACATAATAGATGATATTATATTAACAGCAATTCTATGGCATATTATATATATATATATATATATATATAAAAACTATATCGTTTTTATCCCAAACTGTTTAGTTAAAAACTACTTAAATTATTAAATGCAGAAAGACATATATCATCAAGACCATAGTAGAAAAACAAAATATTAAAATAAATTAATTTAGAGAGCATATGTATATACATTGAATGAGATAGTATCCAAATTTCAAAATAGGCAGATATCCAAAGAAAATGAGAAATTTTAACAAACAAAATCAGAATAATAAACTATCAAACTAAGACTGGGGTGATACCACCAGATGTTCTCTAAGTGTAGCAACCTTATTAGAACAATTGATAATCAAATAACAAAAAATAGAAGAATATCTACTAATCTCTTTAATGGTAATTAATAACATTATAATCTAATAGTTAAAATTTTATATTTTATTTAAGTTTGAATAATGTTGAATTTAATGGAGTTGAGAATTTAAATTACTAGTATATAATAAGATTACAGTTATTAAATTATGTTAAAAATATTTTTGATCTTTTTATTTGTTAAAAAAAATATTCTTAACAATAAGAAGTAATCTACTAAAATATAGGCACTATTGAAGAAAATTTAAAGAGAACTAGTCCAATTAGTTAGTGGCCTACAAATTAAATATATAGACATATCTTATTGTAGATCCTAAACTAAATTTTCTATCGTATCATACAGAATCAACAATAAGCAAAAACAAACATAAACACTTTTATAAACTCAATTAAGAATCCAGTGGGTGCGTGTAATAGCCTAGATTTTTCGCATTTTGATTTCTTGTGTCTTGTATGGTTGGGTAAGCATGTATATATATATATATAGGAAGATGTAGTAAGGATAAAAACTCAGTTTAATGACAAACGAGAAGGAAATAGTAAAATTAGGTTAAAGGAAATCCTTTAATAGTGAGAATATTTCTTAAAAGGGAAATCGAGTTTTATTAATCAAGTTTTTCAAAGTTGAAACGATATTTTAAGAAGATGAAAAATATTATGAGACTATGAGAAAAATATTAAAAGTGAAATTCGAAAGAGAGTGAAAAGTTAGGTTACGTATGAAAAACTCTAATTCATGAATAATGGAAGAAAATGCCCTTTTATGATTGAAACGTTTCCTGAGACCAAACTACATAGAATTTGAAGCCCAAATTTGGTAAAAGACATGAAGAAAAAGAAATGTTAAAAGGAAACGATTTTCAAAAAAGAAAAATTGGGAGAAAATTAAGGAAAACTGATAGGCATGTGGAGAAGCTTTTAATGACTTGTTATTATAGACCTTATGAGCTTAGGTGGGTTTAAGGGAGTTTAATGGGCTCCATGTCAACTCAAATTCAGTTACCAATAAGTTAAATAGTGGATAAAGATGAGGAAGCAAGTGGAAGAATGTGGAAGAATCTAGAACAAGCATGAAGAGGTATGGAGAAAGTTAGAAATATTTTAAATGAAGTGGCATGATGAAAGGTGGTGACTTTTAAATGAAATGACATTATGAAAGGTAGTAACTTTTAGATAAAGTGCATGGTAGAAGGATGACAACCTTTCTCTCGTGGCTCTCAACTTCTATAAAAAGAGGCTTATAACCGTTGTGGATGGGAGAGAAAGTGAGAAACATAGAGGTGAGAGAAGAAGGAGCACAAAGTGTGTAATTTTGTAAGAGATTGTGAGGTTCTTTTAGAAAGAAACCTTAGAGAAACTTTTCTAAATTTGTGAAAACACAAAAAAAAAATTAGAAGAGAAATAAGATTCATGGTCAAAAGAATGTTATAAATCGTGAAAAAGAAAGTGACCAAAATCATCCTGGAACTCTACCCGATTTTTTAGAGAAAAATATCATAAAAAAACCAGAACTTTGCCAAAATTGAAATTACATGCTACACAAGAAAATTGAAGCAATACAATAGGAGACTTTATCCGAGTGGATACATAAAGCGATGGTTAAAAGAAAATGTTTAAAATACGATTGTTAAGGATCTAAGGTAAATGAATTTTATAGATTCATTAATCTACATATTTTTGAAGTATTTTACGTTTTTTCAGTATAAAAAAATTGTGCAAATAGATGTTATAATATTATGTCTTATATATTTTTAGAAAATATTTTATTTGTACTTTCGTTTGCGTTAAGCAAGTATTTGTTAAAGTTTTACTTCAATATAAGTGTTACTTCGTTTTTTAATTTCGAAATGTGATTTTGGTATATGTTTGCATCACTCATTATAGAAATGAGTTGTTCCGAAAGCATATGCATAATGTTAGGCTTCAGTGTATTTATACATGTTATTCCATATTCGAGTGTCTTGGCAAAATGATACGTATGCACCTATATATGTCATTTTGTATTCATGTGTATGAGGAATTAATGTGATCTGAGTATCCTGACTGTTTCATATTCGAGGGTAGTAGTGTTTCAAAGTACTCATATATTTCATTTCGTATTCGAGTGCATATGAAACCAATGATAAGTATGTGTGCCTATGCATAATGTATGATAACTTATTAATCCTCCATAATAGTGATAAAGAATAGTTCATTATACAATGAAGCAATATGAATTTGTTTCTGATTTCGTTAATCTATTTTAAGTGTTATGTCTTTATTTGATTCTAATGCAAGTGCTATGTAATTTCGAAAGTGTTTTCATTTTGTGTGCATCATTAATTAAGGAGACGAGGCGTTTCGTTCCACCTCCATCATGCTAAGACTCAATGTGATTGGGTGCTCTGTCGTTCCATGTTCGGGGAGTCTCAATGTTTTAATTACTCATATATGTCGTTCCGTATTCGGGGGGTCTCAATCTTTTAATTGCTCATACATGTCATTCCATGTTCGGGTGTATGGTGAGTCAGTGTGATATGCGTACTCTGATTGTTTCATGTTCGAGGAGTGGTAGGTTTCGAGATGCCCATAAATGTCGTTCCGTATTCGAGTGCGTGGGAAACCAATGATAAGTGTGGATGCCTATGCATGATATGTGGTAACTGATCAGTCCTACATAATAGTGATGAAGTCATTGTATAATGTAGCAATATGAATTCGTTTTCTAATTCATATGTTTTCTAGTTTCATTTTCGATTCGTATATATGTTCTCTGAAAATGTATAAGATATATGTTTTTGTTATATTTGAAGTTAGACTCTAAGTTCGATGTTACTATTTTATTTTGTATTTATATCATTAGAAAAAAATATTTAGAATTTCGTACTATATATTTATGTTTTACAGTTAAGGAATGTAACGTTTTTATGATTTAATTATAATTAATAAAATTAAATTATTTTACTTAACTCTTATTTAAGTGATTTAATTATGTTTCGATTATTCTCCTATAAAATAAGATATGATCCTGTAACGGGGCGAGCAACAGTGATACACTGCACTAGTTCAATCTGGATAGTCATCATTTTTCATTATGTACTGGGAAGCCATTTTTGTTAAATCAATTTATTCAAAAAATAGTTTCTAAATATCTTATTGTACGTTCCTGATGAAGATATATATATAATATATATATCCTAATATAAATATTGTACCACTACCTTCCGCTAATATTGTAAGTAATACACATAT